TAAGAGTATCTTTGTTTGTAAAGGTGAATGTTTCATCATAATCTCTAACTATGTTTAATATATAAGTTAACATTGCAGAAAGATGTAATGTGCAGTAGTATGGAGGACCAAACCTGCAGTTAAAAATGAATGAATGAATAAATAAATAAATGAATGAATGAATAAATAAATAAATAAAATTAAATGTGATAATAGGAAAATACATAAAGGAATAAACGACTTGATAAAATAATTATGATAACATTTTAATCAAATATATTTTTGTATAATTTCCCCCAAATATATCATTTTTTGCTTTTATATTTTAATGTATTTGTATTCGTTTTAATTGTATTTATTTATTATTTTATTTCTTTGTTCAGTTTATTCTTTATATTTATTTATGCATTCATTTAATTATATATTTATTTTATATAATATATATATTTATATTATTATATATTATATTAATATATATATATATTTATTTATTCCAATTTGTTTTTATTTCCAGATATATTTGTTTTAACCTTTATTTATTTAAATTTTCTTTCTTAGTTTTATATCTATTTTTACAGTATTTCATTTATTGATGTGCATGATAATTAGGTTGGTTGGTCTTGCTTACCAATATAAATATTAATTAACACATAAATAAAAGCAGAAAGGGAAGGGAAAAAAATATACAAAAATGATTTTAATTAAGAATAAATCACATTTATTTTATCAAGTCATTTATTCCTTTATTTATTTTCCTATTATCAAATGTATCTTTTTTTTTACTTATTAATGTTTAATTTCTGCAGGTTTGGTCCTCCTATATTGTAATTAATATCACACACACATATTACATTTTAATTATGAACAAATAGATATATGTGTGCAATTTAATAGTACAATTTAACATTTTTAATTAGTTAAACTTGTTAACTTTTTATATATACATGCATACATTTCTGCATATATATTTTTATATATTTTTTATTTTATTTATTTTATAGTAATGGAGGAGGAAGAAGAACTGGAAAGTTTTTCTCCAACAAAATATCTCACACAGCTGAGTAAGTAAATCAAAGTATCTTGTCATGTGTGTTATATATACCCATGTCAAATTCTTATAAAATTGGAATAAAAATTGAACATACTGGAGAGAACATTCAAATTATAATGCGGAATTTTTAGGCTCATCTGCAGCCACAGGATCCACAGTCTTATTACAACAGGTTACTTTACACATCCATTTTGGAGGCTTATTCAATTACATACTGTTACGTCCCTGTGGTCGTATGTTTTTCTTTTGGTTTCTATTTCTCTTCTCTCTCTTCTACCACTATCCTATTCTTAGGTTTGCGTCATCTCTTGTCCGCTGTTGGTTGAGAGCGATGTCAATCTTCATTCACATCATGACGTCATCTCCCTCCCGTGGCCTATCAAGTTCAACCTTCGAGTTTAAAGGGAAGCGGGAGAAGAACGCAAGACAGCTTTGTTTCTTTCTGTGTGTTGATTGCCGCTTGTATGTACGTTATTTTTCTGTTACAGACATTATTCTGTTTGTTTTGTCTGCCTTGATGGCGTGTTTTGAGGTTACCAAGTGTAACGTGTCTGCCTTGATGGCGTGTTTTGAGGTTACCAAGTGTAACGTGTTCTGCCTTGATGGCGTGTTTTGAGGTTACCAAGAGTAATTTGGACAGGTAAAAATGTCACGTGACGTACATAAAACAACACCTAGTAAACTCGATGTATACTACACCAGGTAAGAGAGTGAATGCCACTTTTGTATGTTTTGTTATTAGTTAGTGTAGGTAGAGAGGGCGCTTTGCGCTGAAGATCTTTGTCTTTTATTTTCTTTTTGTTATTAGTGAGCTAAGAGGTTGGGGTTTAGTTAATTGGTGTTTGTTTTGTTCCTTTCTTTTATTTGGCTTCACTTTATGTCCTTATACTCTATTATTATTATTATATTTATTTATCTTTGCATTAAAATATCATTTGTCAAATAAATCATACTTTATATTTTCACAACTCTGAGTATGGGTCGTCTCTTGCCATTATAACGTGCACCATCTCCTGATCACAACCTCAATGTTGCCCCTTTCAAACAAACTTGTTTGAGGGTACGTAACATTTAATGGGGGCTCGTCCGGGATCTTTTATCTCAAGTTAATTCAGTTGTGATCAGTTGTATGTGTGTATGATAGTGGTAAGTGACGTTACGTTTATTTTTGCGGCTTATTCATGCAGAGCAGTATTTTTGTACTCGTTTGCTGGTTGTGCATCATGGAAGTGTTTAGCTTAAAAAAATTCATTGCCAACCCGTCTTTCGAACAGATTAGTTCATGCAAGAAACAAGATTTAGTTCTGATAGCTGACCACTATCAGATTGAGGTGAGTAGACAGACCCTTAAGAGCGAGATACAAAGTAAATTGATACATCGTTTAAAAGAGATTAATGTTCTTCCTGTGTCAAGTCCTGTGGGTGATGAGGCTGGCGGAGGTGCAGAGGTGAGTGTTGGTGGGAGTGGCGTTGCCGTGACAAATCGCAGTTTTGTGGATGATGAGGATAAACGGAGCGGTAGAGCTGATGCTGAGGCGGAGGTGGGGGCCGATGCTAAGGCCGGCTTGCCACCGTTTGATCCATTCTCTCCCAGTTCTGTTGATTCCAGAGATGGAGCGCGACTGAGAGTCCGCTTGGCCCGTTTGCAATACGAGGCACAGGAGAAAGCCCAGGCACGTCAAGCTGAGATAAATCTGCGTTTGGAGGTACGCAGGCTTGAGATTGAGGCAGAGACTCAGGTGAAGCTGAGACAGCTTGATCTGGACGCAATGAAAATCGCTGCCGGTTCAGCTGTGCAGTCGACTCCAGGTCCAACCTCTGATGTTCCTCCGCGGTCTGATTCGTCCCAGGTAACGTTTGACATTAGTAAGTACATTTCTTTAGTACCTCAGTTTAGAGAATCAGAGGTTGATTCGTATTTCAGTACATTTGAGCGCATAGCTACTTCTCTTCGATGGCCTAAAGACGTCTGGTCTCTATTGTTACAATGTAAATTGATTGGAAAAGCTCAAGAAGTCTGTTCTACTTTATCTCTAGAAGAAAGTTTAAAATGAGTCTATGAAGTCCGCGATACTTCGTGCTTACGAGTTAGTCCCAGAGGCTTACAGGCAGAAGTTTCGTGGGCATAAAAAGAATTCGGCTCAAACATTTGTGGAATTTGCTAGAGAAAAAGGAATCTTGTTTGACAAGTGGTGCACAGCTAGCAAAGTGAGTGATTTTAATGAGTTAAGAGAACTTGTACTGCTCGAAGAGTTCAAAGGGTGTTTACCTGATCGTGTAGTGGTCTACCTAAATGAACAGAAAGTAATTTCGTTGTCTCAAGCAGCTGTGTTAGCGGACGAGTTTGTTTTAACCCACAAAAACGTTTTTGCACTTGCACGTCCAGAGCGATCACAATCTGTTCCTTTGCAAAACCCACCAGTCCGTCCCAAACACAGTCCAACTCGTACGAGAGAGGATCGTGAATGTTTTTACTGTCACAAACAAGGACATGTGATCGCAGATTGTCTGTCTTTAAAACGCAAGCAGCAGCCTAAGAGCGTAGGGTTTGTGAAGACTTGTAAGCCGACTGTCAGTGTACCTAGAGTGGAGAAAATCGATGACAGTTATCAACCTTTTATCTTGAAAGGGTTAATTTCTCTAAAGGGAAATTGTGACGAACAGAAAGAAATAAGAATGCTCAGAGACACCGGTGCAATGCAGTCTTTTATTGTGGCAGATAAATTACCATTCTCTGAGGACACTTTCTGTAATTCAAGTGTGATAGTTCAAGGCATTGACATGAGTTGTATTACTGTGCCATTACATCGTATCCACCTGCAGAGTGACTTATGTACGGGATTTGTAAGAGTGGCAGTACGTCCTTCTCTTCCTGTCCAGGGCGTTGATTTTATCCTTGGAAATGATCTAGCGGGGGGGAAAATTTTGCCTGTGTTAGAAGTTGTTGAAAAGCCAGATGCGTTCAGTCAATTGGATGTGTCACATACTTACCCTGAAGTTTTTCCCGCATGCGCTGTCACCCGCGCTCAGTCGCGTAAAGTGGGTGATATGGTTGATTTGTCTGACTCTGTTTTTATCACTCTTTTTTCTGGTGACGAATTGTGTGCCGGTACGTCGCCAAAAATAGATAAATCACAGACAGAGGTTAACAGAGGAAATGTGTCTGACGCCGATGCGTTAAAATTACCCGTGTCACGAGAGAAAATTATTACTGCACAAAAAAAAGATGAGTCTCTCAATGCTGTTTTTAATTCTGCCGTCTCTCTTGATTCAGTTAAAGATCAAAAAGTTGCTTACTTTCGGGAGAATGAGTTATTGATGAGGAAGTGGTGTTCTAACACAAATGATTCAGAGTGGAATGTTGTGTACCAGGTGGTCGTTCCTTTTCCTTATCGTAAACATGTGTTATGTTTAGCGCATGATCATCAGCTTGCAGGTCACTTAGGAATTACAAAGACGTATGATAGGATTCTGAGACATTTTTTCTGGCCAGGCTTAAAGAAAGATGTGGCTCAGTACTGCCGTACTTGTCATACGTGTCAAACTGTTGGGAAGCCGAACCAGGTGATTCGCCCCGCTCCTCTGTCTCCCATACCAGCTATTGGTGAGCCATTCGAGCATGTGCTCATAGACTGTGTTGGGCCATTGCCTAAAACTAAGTCGGGTAACCAGTTTCTGTTAACCATAATGTGCATGGCCACTAGATTTCCGGAAGCAATTCCATTAAGGAAAATTACCGCGCCTGTTATCATCAAAGCATTGGTGAAATTTTTTTCTACTTTCGGTCTTCCGAAAATAGTACAAAGTGATCAGGGCACGAATTTTTTATCAAAACTTTTTAGACAAGTACTGGAGTCGTTGTCAATATCTCACCGAGTCTCAAGTGCGTACCACCCACAAAGCCAGGGCGCACTTGAACGGTTTCACCAGACACTTAAGTCGATGCTGAAGAAGTATTGCCTGGAAACTGCTAGAGACTGGGACGAGGGAGTTTCCTTAGTATTATTCGCTGTAAGAGAGACTGTACAGGAATCTCTTGGTTTTAGTCCAGCCGATCTCGTATTCGGACATCAGCTGAGAGGACCTTTGAAAGTTTTTAAAGATCACATTTTGAACAGTGTTCCGGGTCCTCGCACTAATGTACTGGATTATGTCAGTAATTTTCGAGATCGTTTGCATACTGCTTGGTCACTGGCTAAAGAATCTCTAGAAAATGCTCAAAAAGGCATGAAGCGCAAATATGATCAGAAAGCAGTTGCGCGTTCATTTTCGCCTGGTGATAAAGTGTTGGTGCTTTTACCTGTTCCTGGATCATCTTTGTCTGCCCGTTTCTTTGGTCCTTATGTGGTGAAACAGAAAATGAGTGAAACTGATTATATGCTGTACACACCTGACAGAAAACGTCAAACCCGAGTTTGTCACATAAACATGATAAAAGCTTACCATGACAGGGAGATGCCTGAGGTGAAAGCTTCAGATGAAACTGCAGGGCCCGCGGTCTCTTCTGTCGCAATAGCCGTGGAACTGAAACCATTTTCTGGTATCTCAGGGGCTGACGAGGATGGTGTCGTGCTTCGCAACGCTCCTCAGCAGTGTGCAAGGTTAGCCAACTCAGAAATTTTAGAAGATCTTCACTCGTATCTCAATCATTTAACTGCTGACCAGGAAACTGACATTGTTCAAATAATATTCGATTTTAATTGTCTGTTTAGTGATGTTCCTAAACAAACAAATGTCTTACAGCATGATATTGTTGTAAACGGTGCTCGTCCTATTAAGCAAAATGCTTATCGCATAAATGCAGTCAAGAAATCTATTATGCGTCAAGAAGTGAATTATCTGCTTGAAAATGACTTAGCCAGACCTAGTTGCAGTCCCTGGAGCTCTCCTTGTCTCCTTGTGCCTAAACCTGACGGTACGTTTAGGTTTTGCACTGATTTTCGAAAAGTGAACGCCGTAACGGTGCCAGACAGTTATCCGTTACCCCGCATGGAGGACTGTGTTGATAATCTGCGGTCTGCTCGTTTTGTTACTAAGCTGGATATGTTGAAAGGGTACTGGCAGGTACCACTTACTTCACAAGCGTCAGACATTTCAGCATTTGTAACACCAGATAAGTTCCTTCAATATACAGCGATGGCTTTCGGACTCAGAAACGCTCCAGCCACTTTTCAGCGTCTTGTAAATATCGTCTTGGCTGATGTACCGAATTGCAATGCATATCTTGATGATTTAGTGTTATATTCTGTGACTTGGGAGGAACATGTGAGTTTGTTGAGAACGGTGTTCGAACGTCTACGTGCAGCTAATTTAACTCTCAACTTGGCAAAGTGTGAGTTTGGTCGAGCGACTGTCACTTATTTGGGTAAAGAGGTTGGACAAGGCTACGTACGACCAGTGGAAGTGAAGGTTACTGCTATTGCAGAGTTTCCAGTCCCTGCGACTCGACGAGAGTTGCGAAGATTTCTAGGTATGGCTGGTTATTACCGCAGTTTCTGTAAAAATTTCTCAACCGTTGTTACCCCTCTCACTTCATTACTTTGTCCATCTAAAAAATTTGAATGGTCTGCGGAGTGTCAGAATGCTTTCGATTGCGTTAAAATGCTTTTATGTAATGCACCTGTTCTCGTTGCACCTGATTGCTCCCGTACTTTATAAACTCGAGGTAGATGCAAGTGCTGTTGGAGCCGGAGCTGTCCTTCTTCAGGAGGATATAAATGGTATAGACCATCCGGTGAGTTATTATTCTCGCAAGTTTAATAAACATCAGCTTAACTATTCTACCATTGAAAAGGAAGCACTTGCTCTCTTACTTGCTCTCCAGCACTTTGAAGTTTACCTTGGTTCCAGTAATCTTCCTGTCACCGTATTCACTGACCATAACCCTCTAGTGTTTTTATCCAGGATGTACAATCAAAACCAGCGTTTGATGCGCTGGGCTCTAGTACTCCAGAATTATAACGTGGAGATCAAGCACAAAAAGGGTGTTGATAACGTTATGGCTGACGCTCTTTCGAGAGTGTAAAATATTGTGTGTTTTTTTTTTTTTTTTCAAACAGGTTTGTTCTTAAGGGTGGGAGTGTTACGTCCCTGTGGTCGTCTGTTTTTTCTTTTGGTTTCTATTTCTCTTCTCTCTCTTCTACCACTATCCTATTCTTAGGTTTGCGTCATCTCTTGTCCGCTGTTGGTTGAGAGCGATGTCAATCTTCATTTACATCATGACGTCATCTCCCTCCCGTGGCCTATCAAGTTCAACCTTCGAGTTTAAAGGGAAGCGGGAGAAGAACGCAATACAGCTTTTGTTTCTTTCTGTGTGTTGATTGCCGCTTGTATGTACGTTATTTTTCTGTTACAGACATTATTCTGTTTTGTTTTGTCTGCCTTGATGGCGTGTTTTGAGGTTACCAAGTGTAACGTGTCTGCCTTGATGGCGTGTTTTGAGGTTACCAAGTGTAACGTGTTCTGCCTTGATGGCGTGTTTTGAGGTTACCAAGAGTAATTTGGACAGGTAAAAATGTCACGTGACGTACATAAAACAACACCTAGTAAACTCGATGTATACTACACCAGGTAAGAGAGTGAATGCCACTTTTGTATGTTTTGTTATTAGTTAGTGTAGGTAGAGAGGGCGCTTTGCGCTGAAGATCTTTGTCTTTTATTTTCTTTTTGTTATTAGTGAGCTAAGAGGTTGGGGATTAGTTAATTGGTGTTTGTTTTGTTCCTTTCTTTTATTTGGCTTCACTTTACGTCCTTATACTCTATTATTATTATTATATTTATTTATCTTTGCATTAAAAATATCATTTGTCAAATAAATCATACTTTATATTTTCACAACTCTGAGTATGGGTCGTCTCTTGCCATTATAACGTGCACCATCTCCTGATCACAACCTCAATGTTGCCCCTTTCAAACAAACTTGTTTGAGGGTACGTAACACATACTTATCCTCCATGTTCTTTTGTTCTAACTACTGTTAAGGTTTGAATATACCAGTGGTGAAGGTGGGTGCACTTCATGAATTGTATGCATGCTAAACTGTTATTTGTTGTGAAAAAATTGACTATTTACTTACAAGCATTTGAACATTATCAGAATGTGCATTACTAGAACAAATAACAGAATAAATAGAATAAAAGAATAAATAATGATTAGTCATTTAATGTAGTCAAGACAATCAAATACATATGTACATTCAGTTTTTAATTTCCTCCCTGTGCTTTTCCTTGCAGCTCCTCCAACAACATCGGCTCCTGTGTGTAGGCCTTCATCACAGGGTGAAGGCTTTGCACCATCTCACGCAGCACAATCAGCCTCTACACCTGCACCAATGCTGTCTGCACTCACTGAAACCCCTGTTCCCAGCTACTTGAACACAAAAGTAAAGACGTGCATTACACACGTGTATTAAATGTGTTATTCACGCATATACAATATTATACATATTAATGCACTTTTAATATATATATACAGTGGTGTGAATAAGTGTTTGCCCCCATGCTAAAGTTGCCTAAAAAGAGGAATAAAAATATCTTTTGGATATTGATCTTAATGCCTTAATTAGAAAAATGAGGAAAACTCCAACCTTTAAGGACACAAATTTTCTTTGTGAATGAATAATGTATCATAAATAAATAAATGTTTTTCCTTAAAATACAGGTTGCTGTGACGCTGTGCGGAGAAACAGAGCTGAGGCTGGGTCCAAACGCAGTGTAGCTTTATTAAACAAACTTAAAACAAGACACTAGAAGCAAGACTCGAGAATCGTGAAAGCACCAACGTAACACACATAAATTCAACAACCAACAAAGACAGGGCAGAAACACAGGGCTTAAATAATCAAACGAGCTAGACAAGATAACAAGGGGGCGTGAGAAATGAGAAACACCTGGGATAAATAATAGACGGGCAATAACTAATAACGAAAACACACAAAACCACTACGTGACAGGTGCATAAGTCAGGGCACCCCTATGTTAAATTCCCATAGAGTCAGGCAGATTTTTATTTTTAAAAGCCAGTTATTTAATGGATCCCGGATAATATGCATCCTGATAAGTTCCCTTGGCTTTGGAATTAAAATATCCCCACATCATCACACACCTTCCACCACACCTAGAGATTGCATGGGTAGTACTTTCCATAAGATCATCTTTCAATGCAAATCAAACCAGCTATTAGGCTAACTGAAGTAAAACCATGCAAACACTTATTCACACCACTGTATATATATATATATATATATATATATATATATGGATGTTCATTAAAATTACAAAAGTATTGTATTTTATTGCATTGCATTGTAAGTTCATTTATTGACTAGCATTATTTTATCTGGCTCAGATTTGAAAAAACACTAAATATTAAGTATTGTTACTATTAAACACTGTACATAATTATTTACTTTTAAAAATGTTCTTGTTTTTTTTTCATTTTCTCCACAACCATATTATTATTGCTGTTATTTAATCTATAATTTTAAATTTTTAAATTTCTTTCCATTGTCCATTAAAATCAAACAGTTTAGTCCTTGTTTTTCATTGCAATTTGGTGTGTTTTTAAAGTTAATTTTATTAACTTGCATTATTTTATCTTGGTCAGATGTGTAAACACTATTAATAACTGTTAATTAAACATTGTACATAATTATTTGTTATTTTTTTAAATCTTGTTTTTTCCCCAGCTTTATGTTGTTATTATTATTGTTATTATTCATGTTATTGTTTTTTAATCTATAAGTATTTAATACAGTACCTTTTTCAGTTTTACATAATAATATGTATATTATTGTATTATAAATAAAATGATAAACTTACTATTTGGTGTTTACTGGTTGTTTTTGTGCATAGTTAAAGAAATATAATGTGAAAATCTCTAAAAAAAAAAATAAAGGTATAAAACATTATCAAAATGTTCTTTACAATTATTCACATTCAAATATTTTCTATATTAAAAGAGAATTATACCCTATTATAATTTAAATGTTTATTGAGATAATTGGACATTTCGTACATCCTACACAAAAACAAATCTTAAAAGTTTTATTCTATTTTCAGCAAAATTTAGTTTATTATATGTAAATCGTACTTGACATGAATTTGTAATCATTTTTTTATCTAGATACAATATATGATATTTGTGGTCGAGATGGGACTCGAACCTATGATTTTGTGTATTTTTTCTGGCCCGTCTCCCTGAAATTTCCTGCGTTCCTATTGGCTGGCAGCGCTCTACACCTACGCGCGACTGGCCTTCGCGTGTAAAGCGAACGTGATAACCACTACACTACGGAAACTTATCTTGGAAGACAGTCCGACCTCTTTTAGCGTACGCTTGTTCAAAAGCGACTGAAACGATAGACTGCCCACTGTCCTTAAAATGGCAAAAAGCTGCTATTTTTGTTGGCAGACTAAACGTTTTTTATTACTCTACAAGAAACTTCAATGGTCATTTGTTTTGTTTTAGTCCTTTTCTAAAGAATTTACACCACAAATCGCCCTGCAAGTGTTCTGACCCGCTCAACAGAAAACCACTGAAAAAATGTTAGCAAAGACCATCCACAGTTTCCGCCCAGTTTCGAACTGGGGACCTTTCGCGTGTGAGGCGAACGTGATAACCACTACACTACGGAAACAAGCCCTTTAGATGCAGACAGAAATCTTCTGGTGCAGGCTTGTTAAAAAGTGTACCAAGGAAAAGTGGGCTGAGCCCTCCTGTTGTGGCAAACAGTTTAAATTTTCTGCCAAAAGCCAATTGCTGTTTCTGCTCGGTTTCGAACCGAGGCCCTTTCGCGTGTTAGGCGAACGTGATCACCACTACACTACAGAAACCTCCTTATGTAAGACATGTGCTTTTTCGAAAATGGCTCCATCCCATAATCTTTCCTGCAAGCATTGTGACAAGCTGTTTAAATTCCACAAATAACAGATAAGAGCTCATTCGGAATGGCAGTCTGCCTACAGCTCTTTGGTACAATTGCCCTCACCTAATTTCAATAGTCCAAAAACTTTGTTGCGAATTTCAGCATGTATATTAAATACCCCTTTACTTGTTTCCGCCCAGTTTCGAAATGAGGACCTTTCGCGTGTAAAGCCAACGTGATAACCACTACACTACGGAAACTTAAATTGGAAGACAGTCCGACCTCTTTTAGCGTACGCTTGTTCAAAAGCGACTGAAACGATAGACTGCCCACTGTCCTTAAAATGGCAAAAAGCTGCTATTTTTGTTGGCAGACTTAACATTTTTTATTACTCTACAGGAAACTTCAATGGTCATTTGTTTTGTTTTAGTCCTTTTCTAAAGAATTTACACCGCAAATCGCCCTGCAAGTGTTCTGACCTGCTCAACAGAAAACCACTGAAAAATGTTAGCAAAGACCATCCACAGTTTCCGCCCAGTTTCGAACTGGGGACCTTTCGCGTGTGAGGCGAACGTGATAACCACTACACTACGGAAACAAGCCCTTTATGTGCAGACAGAAATCTTCTGGTGCAGGCTTGTTAAAAAGTGTACAAAGGAAAAGTGAGCTGAGCCCTCCTGTTGTGGCAAACAGTTTAAATTTTCTGCCAAAAGCCAATTGCTGTTTCTGCTCGGTTTCGAACCGAGGCCCTTTCGCGTGTTAGGCGAACGTGATCACCACT